ACAAATTACCAAAAGAAATGTTATATGTAATATATANAAAAATAATCTGTTTTCAGATTCATGTAAAATAAATTTTTTCTATGAAGTGTTATTTTTAATATTTATACGCAACAGTTATATATTTTATAAAATTGAAAAATGGTAAACATTGTTCCTATTATAAATATCTAAAATAAATCAAAATGTTAAAATCATATTAAATTAAAAGATATAACTATAAGATTTGTTTGCTATAAAAAAAGTTATTTTTGTTTAGATGTTTTGAATAATTTCAGAATACAGATTAAAATGAATGGGGAAAAACATTAAATTAGGATACTTTTAAGTACTTCCTGACTGAATGGTATAATCTTATCATTTTAGGTAATCATTATAAGTTTATCTATAAAACTTAGCCTCATTTATGTCTGTTTTACAAATAATTATATCTATAAATTATTTTAACATATATTTCTTAAATTCAAATAATATATTATATCAAGAAAAAAAGATTGAATTGCATGAAATTTGCAATCTAATATAAAAATGGATATAGATAAACTCAAAGAATTCTATTTGACAACAGATAAGAAACAATGGAGCAATTAGCTAATGCATTTTATTTATTTATTAAGAATTTTGAACTTTTTCAGAATACATTCCTCTAAGTATTCCTCCAGATTTAAAAACTAAATTAAACATCTGAAGTTAAAACACATTTCAAATCTGTACAGAAAAAATAATTCTTTAAACACATCTACATTTATGTTTCAAATAATTTTATTTATTTTTTAATCAATATGTTTCATTGTAAATATTTATTAATAAAAGGCAATTAGTTATACTAATACATTACAAGTTAAGAGACTTTAAAAGTTATATAATTCAAGATAAATAATAACAATCATAGTTTCTTGAATCATCATCATTAAATAACTTTTTGAAAATACAGCATTTTCAAAATCTATTAAAAATTGATAATTTTAAAAATGAAATATTTGCAAATTCAGTATTAGTCCAAATATAATTAGTTAATAAGCAAATAGTTTTACAAAATTATCCCTCAATTAATACAACTGCAGAAAAAAATATGAACAAATTAACAAAACATAAATTTGCCAAATAAAAACTGATCTTTTATAAGGACATATGAGGTCTCATTAATATATTTCCTCTAGAACAAATACAGAAAGGTGAGAGTTTTCCCACAAAAACAAAAATATTACAGATAAGAAACCAAGTCTAAATATTTTTATTAAACAAATAACAAGCCGGATATATTGTTTAGTAATTTTAAATCAAATAACAATCATAGTAGATTGTTATTTGATTAATGATAAGTTCAGCTTGGTATTTGATTAGAAATATCAAAATTATGTAATTGTATCACAGACATAAGCAATACTTCACTAATATATATATATAGCTAATCCAGATACACCACAATATATAAAATATATTGTAAGGCAGTTGTAGATTCAGGAGCTTCATGATAAACTAATTTTTACAAACTACTGGCTGAGAGTATCTGTTTGAGAAGACAGGTCTGTGATTGCCAAAAATGATCTTATCTTAAAACTGATTATTACAGAAATAACACATGACAAAAATATTGCAACAATATATACCTCATGATACAAACTCTTCAATTACTTATAGACAGCCAAATAAGAAACATAATATACCCAAATGTTTGCACAAACAAATTATTTACTCATCAGAGACAGTATTTGAAAACAACATGCATGAAATATTCTATAACAAAATTATAATTATAAAAGATTCTACCACAAATTATTATACATATTCATTGATGAACAAAATACAATCATGTGATTGTATTTTGTTCATCAACATACATCATACAATATACAAAACTGTTACATTTGTAAAATTAGTAAGTATATCAAGCGCCCAAAAACTTAAAACACATTTAGAAGATGGATAAGATATTTATTATGCATTGTATCTCTCTCTTTCACAGATGCTATATCACTTATAAAGTGTACACACATTAGATCTTAATAAAAACATTTAAATCACACACATTTCATTTTGCTACTTTCAAACACATTTACAGTTTCTTTAATCTAGTAATTAAGTGCAATTTAATAATACATTTTCTTTACCACATTTATGGACCATCTTTAACCAGTGAATTTAGGAAAGTGTTAAATAAAAAATTTTTCTAAACAACCAAAGTAAATCATCTTTCAATATATGGAATTGTATTTTATCAATAATACAATTCCATATATTGAAAGATGATATGACATTAATAAGCCTTGTCAAGTTGTGGTTATATAAAAGTTTCCAACAAAATTTGGATGATTCAACTGTGACTGTGTTTACATTAGATGGCTCAAAACAGAAAGTGAAAGCAAATATAATGCAAAAAAGAGCTTTCAACCACTCCAATTTTGCAGCCTAGCATAACTTCATTCTTTAGAATCAGGCACATATTAAACACACTGACAATCTCAACATTGTCAAACATGTGGAAATAATGAAATTATATAATAAACAACTGCTCCAATCATCATAATGTGGAATGCTTGTCTAAAAGTTATACAATTGTAATTGTATATACAATTAGCCTATTGCGAATGACAGGAACTGTAACTGCAGCTGTACAATTTCACTAGAACCTATATTCATATTAATATATTTTAACTTTGTTTTTATTTTTAATTAATCCTAATTAAATCTTTTAATTAAAATATAAATATGCATTCAATTCACTTATTGCACATAATGTTCTGCTTTATAACTATTCATTTTTTATTTTGTGTTTTGAACCTGAAGTTGTTCAATAAATTCTGCTAATTAAATTTGTTATTTAATAACAATTACTTACTGTACTAAACATTGATAAGTATTCTGTTTTAGTCATCCAGTTTTGAAATGTTTATCCAGCAGTTCTGATACATTATATTTTCAGAACCTTTTTAACGTTAACAAACATTCACACACAATGTGTACATTAATTGAACATAAGCAATAAGCATAACATTTATTTAAGTAGCCAAGTTTAGACTTTGATTCAGCATAATACTTAGCACAGGCATCAATTAAGCTTCCCATTATATTATCAAACACTATTAATAATAATGAAGAAAATGCAGCATAGTCTAATTTCAAAACATATTAATAGGACAGAAAGTGAAAAGTAAATGATCAAAGCATGATCTTTGAACTTAATCGTAAACTGTGTTTATATCTTATTAATAAACTATCAATCTCCATTATGTTCATTAACTCAAAAACTGCTTTACTGGAGAAACCAAAAAAAGTAAATCAGTTCAATATTCTACCAAGTACTTTTGAGCTTCTTATTTTGTTGGTTTCTCCAGTAAAGCACTTTTGAAGTAATCTTGTTAATATTTATTTAAAAAATAGAGGTATCCTATATTCATATTCTATAGATATCAATAACAATTGTATTACAATTATATTATACATACATAATATAAATTACATAAACATATCGCATGTACAAGTACATAACTTACACAGAATATAAATATGAAAAATAATCTGTTTTCAGATTCATGTAAAATAAATTTTTTCTATGAAGTGTTATTTTTAATATTTATACGCAACAGTTATATATTTTATAAAATTGAAAAATGGTAAACATTGTTCCTATTATAAATATCTAAAATAAATCAAAATGTTAAAATCATATTAAATTAAAAGATATAACTATAAGATTTGTTTGCTATAAAAAAAGTTATTTTTGTTTAGATGTTTTGAATAATTTCAGAATACAGATTAAAATGAATGGGGAAAAACATTAAATTAGGATACTTTTAAGTACTTCCTGACTGAATGGTATAATCTTATCATTTTAGGTAATCATTATAAGTTTATCTATAAAACTTAGCCTCATTTATGTCTGTTTTACAAATAATTATATCTATAAATTATTTTAACATATATTTCTTAAATTCAAATAATATATTATATCAAGAAAAAAAGATTGAATTGCATGAAATTTGCAATCTAATATAAAAATGGATATAGATAAACTCAAAGAATTCTATTTGACAACAGATAAGAAACAATGGAGCAATTAGCTAATGCATTTTATTTATTTATTAAGAATTTTGAACTTTTTCAGAATACATTCCTCTAAGTATTCCTCCAGATTTAAAAACTAAATTAAACATCTCTAAAACATTAATATGTACATATATATTAATCTACATTAAACCTATATTGATTTATTATCATTTTTTATAAATATTTTATAAGATGACAAAAAATAAATAAATAGAATCTGAAAATAATGTTTACTCATAAAATATGATGATGACAATTTAAAAATATCTATTTGTCTTTCTTGATTTCGAAGAGCTTAATAATTTCCTAAATCTCTTAAATCCATTGTTATTTTAGTCAACATATACACATTTGAAAGATTCAAAACTTAAACCTTAAATTAATAATTTTCAAACAAAGAATTTTTGATTTTAAAACACTATTGTTATCACTGAAATCAAAATTTAATGCATATTCTTAGCAAATAAATGCATTTTTTTTGTTTTTTGTAATAAATCTGAAATTGACTTAAACATCTTAACTACTCATTTTCTATTTATTCATTATCTCAATTTCTTTTTGGAATTTATTCAAGTTATTGAATTCCAAACTATTTATTCTATAATATTACTTTAATATCTAAATAATATTTGTAAAAACTTTATTTGAAATCTATTAGATATGAAAAAATATAACCATAAAAAATGTACATATTCAAATATTTAAATTTAATCATGAGGTTTATGTAATAATTATAAAATATCTTCTGTCATTAAAACATTGAATTTAAACAAATAAAATGTAATAAAAATGAAATTAATGAAAAAAATGAAAATCATTCACTTTATAGTATTTATGTTTTCAAGTTATTTCACATTCTATCATCATATAATAAAACATGAATTAACATTTAAAAATCAGAATTTGAAATTTACTAAACAAAATAATTTGAAAAATTGTAAAATTGATACATTATCCTACTTACTTTTTGTGACTTCTCGTAAATCTGAACAGGAAGAGATGTCTCTTTCCTCCTTTATTTGATTTTGTATTTCAAGTGACTAAAAAATAATTATTCCACTTAATATTAACTTTTTTAGTAAATCCAAATATATAAAAATATTATTAAATATTTAGTAATATATTAATTTTATTTATTCAAATTATTCTAATTGTTCATTTAATATTTATTTTAATTTATCTTATGAGATAACTTTCCATCTTAATTTATGTATAGGATATCCTATTCTATAGAACAAAATATTCTAAGAATACAATGCCTTCAAAATAACCTTATCATATAAAATGATAAGATTATTTTTACTGATAAAACAATATTTCATTCCATAGCATTGAAGCTATTTCACAGCCTCTGGTTGCAATAAATAGTATCAAATTCAAAAGACAATTTAGTTATAATGCATCATCAATTTAACATGAAGATGTTAGATTAATGCTGTACTTTTAATTTAAATTTCATAGATTGAATTCTAATCAGCATATACCTTCAATAATAATAATAATTTTAATTATTATTAAAATATAGTTATAAATTAATGTTCATATTTTTTCATAACAACAAAAGATTGTTAATTAAATAGTCATATTAAAAAAAAATAAACTAAATAATTTCACAAGCAGTACACAAAATATTTCTGTTTATCATCATCAATTGAATATGTCATTGTGACATTTAAAATAAACACATTTCTATTTTTTCTAAGTCATTTTTATATTAAAACAGTTATATCCATTAAAAAAAAAATTCAAATACATTAACACAATCAAGATATTCAAGAGACGACATAAGGTCCAGTTTGGAAATGGGTCACATTCCTAAACTTGTGACCTCAAAATCTCATCAAGCAGGAATAATCTTCTCTTGGAATCATATTTACTGATTTGTTTGAAAAAGCAAAACTAGTTCTGACAAGAGTATATGCCAATAAAAATAACTATTTGGAATTTGATCTAATCAATTTATTATTATATAGATACCTGATTTGATAATTGAATTGGTGTACTCTTGCAAGTTTTTTGTGAAGATTCTCCAATCAACGTCTGTAAATTTTTTAACTGACAGAGAAGTGACCTACAAATAGACAAAATATGTTCTTGGTTAATTGTTCTATATTATAATGCATGAGTAGATAAAGTATGAGATTATATATAGAAAAATAGAGCAGTAAGGGTACTCCACTCAAATAGATAATGAGTTAAATAATAAAAAAATATAATACTCAGAATAAATAAAACAAAAAGTACAGAGGTCAACCAAACACTTTTTTCAATTAAATATTTCAATATATTTTTTATATCAATGAAATTATAATATATTAAATGAA